CACAGCACAGGTAAATTTCAGCAAGACAGAACAAACCCAAGCTATGCTGCAATTCATCTATTGTCCTTTGTTTGACATTTCCATCTTCCACAAAGTCCTTATTCCAGATTTGGTCCTAAATTGTTCAGTAATGCTCGCTTTTCCTCAATTCCTCAATTACCCCAACTGATTTCTTTTCTGACTGATCCCGATTTCATCTTATTGGTTGAAAAATGTTGTAAACTGTCCAGGTTTTTATGTAACACTGTCTGGCTCTTAAACAATGTCAATTTTCGTTCCAGTAAACCAATCTCAGCCAAAAGTATCCAAACTGTCACTAAAGAGCTGTTAATGACTTTTAATTTTTTTTCTAATGAAATTAAATTAACTTTCTGTTCCACTTTTCTACCTCCAAAGCCTTGAACAGTTTTAATAATTTGTAGTAGAAAAATGAACATGAGCTTGAAACTGCCTTAGTGAAAACAAGTAGACCCTAAAATTATATTGCAACTGACACTGGAATTTTATCTTTAGTTGAGGAAGAGTATTTTGAAATGTCATCTTCTAGGAAGAAAAAAACCCAACAAACCATAAACATTTTTTTTAAGCTTGAAGAAATATCAGCAATTCACTGTACTGCATCTGGGTATAATACAATAATCTCAATACCAATAAGTTACAAAGCCTTGGTAAAAGGCAGCAAATTAAGTTATAACTATCAGACAAGAAGAAACAAACTAGCAACCATGTAAGAAACCCACTCACGAAAGCACAGTGAATTTCAAAACAGCCTATGCCAGAACTTTTTTCTTCCCTTTTCTGATAATGAATGTATTATCATTACAAAAGAATTATGCCAATACATAACCTATTCTACTATCCTTATTCAAGGGATGGGAGATAAAAACTCTTATTAGGGTTTGAGGCAGGACTATTCACTCGTGTGCTATCCTGATACTTTGGATCTCAGGAAAGTAATCCCAAAACATCTGAAAATGTAGCTTAAAGATTTCCTGTAACAAAGACAGCCAAAGACTGAAATTTCCCACATTCAAAAATCACATTTGGCATCTGGTTGCTATAAGGAAAAAAACATCTTGTCACAGAAACATGTATGTGTTCTCCTGATGTGGGAGGTATTACAAATTTAATACAGTGCTCTGAAGACCAGCATACTACAAACTGGCCTTAAGATGTCAATATCTGGTCTTATTCCAACTCACTTAATTTTCATGCATTTTTCTTTATGTTTTAATTTTAGAGATTTCTTTTATTCCAATTCTCACCTAATACAGTTTGGTGATCTCTCTCCTGACTACCACCACTGATGAATTTCCCACATATATCCGAAATGGAAGCCCGTATTTTGAACCAAATATTTTCTTCTTAAGGAATAAAATGTTGTCAGAATTAATTCTTTCTGTATTAATTTTGCTCGTATGCTCTCAGATTTGAGTGTGGTTTGGGGAAAGTGTATTTCTGAGAGGGAAACAAAAAAGGATTCTGAGCTGAATTACTGTGTGCCTGAATTAAAGTAATAGGGAGTAAATAATTTACATATTGCAACTTTCAATTTCAATAACTGGACTCATAAAAAATGTCAAGTGAAATTAAAAACCGAATGCAGATAGCCGACACCATCTATACAGAGTTTCTGTGAATTTCTTACTAATGACATCTGGTGGAATGCTGGTCATGAAGAGTGGTTGGGATGAATGAAAGTGACAAGATCCTTGTACAACGATTGAGTCATCCTTAAGGAAGGGACCACATACAGTGCTGAGGGAAACCCATAGTCAACCTCACAGCCCCCAGGCAGTACTGAAAAACACTAATGACCACAGCAGTCTTCTAGGAGTAACATCAGTAGCATAAGAAGACCATCTAATATAGATAAGACCAAGAAGAAAGTAACATTTTGTCATCAAGATGTCCTATGTGAGCAGCTCTCCGGGGACTACATTTCCAGTGGTACTCACAGTCAACGTTGATAGCGGGCAAAAATATGCAGCCAACTTTCTCAAACATTCAAAATAGAACACAGTGATTGAACTTCTGGTACCAGAACAGTTTGTCTGCTCTTGAGCCCATCACTCACTTTTTCAGTATGATGTGTGTAAAATAGGGGGGAAAAAACCAGCCTTGTTTTCCTGTGTTATTTTGACTTCAGTTTGCAAGCTACATACAGCAGAAGAATCCATATTACATTTCAGATGATTAGGTGCAAAACAGTGCTTTTTTTAAAGATTTTCAATCAGGTTCATTTGGGGCAGGAGGCTTAAAGCTGTTCATGGTGAATAAATAATGGAAGTGCCAACTGAAAAATGCTTTTTCAATAACCAGGTTTTTTCTACTTTTTCTACTCTCTTATTAAGGATCCCATGATAATTTGTTTAGGAATATTCAAAAAATTAAGGCAATCATAATGAAATTTAGTGAATTTCTTGTACTTACAAGAAAATTATTTTAGTAGTAAACATCAAAAATGCATTTATATACAGTACAATGGTTACGAGATTTTCAACACAAAAGAGGTTACAATTGAACATATTAAAAAAAAAGATTTTGTGACATCAGAGAAACAGTTCACTCTCAGCAGCTCCTACTGCAACAGTTTACACATGAAGTGTTTTGAATGGCGTACATACTAAACTGACTGTGAGGAAAACATAGTCTCAACAAAATTAAACAGATAGGAGAAAGGAACTACCATTACTTTTTTAGAAAACTGTAAAATTAAACCTCACCTTCCCTTCCTCCCTCTTCCACCAAGACTGTTGCTGCTATAGTGAGAGAAGTCTCCCATCCAGCAATATTGACTTCTCAGCTTTGAGAAATCTTGAGATTAGAGGTCCCTCACACTGGGAGTGAACCTATTCTGTAATGGGGATAGAGAAACTTGGAGGCATATGACAAGAAAAGATGAGGTACATGAAGCAGCAACCAGGAAACATTCCTACTACCTAGGCTCTGGCCACAAAGCCCTGTTAGGAGAGACTTGACAAACAGCAGGGGCAGACACTTGTTCCCAGTCCAGAAGCAGCAGCAACTGTCTGAGTCATGACAAACTAGGCTGATGAGCTGAATCTCAAACAAGAAAAGGAGAAGGAGCAAACGCACTGTGCTGCAAACACCACGCCAACACCAAAGCAGAGAAATGTGACACTAAAAGACTGTTTCATTTTCAAAGTGTCAGATTTCATATGTTTGCTAAGGAGATCTTTCCTGTTGTTCTTCAGTCTCAAACCACAGAATTTTACTGGTCAACATTCCTGCTCCTGCATTTCCTAGTTTGTATACACCTCTCAAAAACTCCCTGGCACTAGGATGGCGAGCTTCCTGCTGAGGTACAATACCACCAAAGTAAAATGAGCAATCCTTGCCCTGACTTTTGCTATTCTGACTCATTTTGAGAGTAAGAAAGTAGAGTGAACTATGAATTTTAATAAAATAACTTCAAATACTGGTCATATAACAAGTTGCCAATAAGACTACCAAAGAAGACTTCCTATAGGCATTACATAACGCAGGAACTATATACCTTGCTTATGACCAAAGTTGGACAAAAGAATAGAAAATTGGTTGCCCAGCAGACACTATTCCTTGAGACGTGGAAATGTATTCTGCTAGATGTTGTCCCTGAAAATTTTATCAGAGCCATGTTGCAAAGAAACATAAAGCTTTATGACACTTCCAAATTGCTGAAAGAGTAGGTGATCTCTGAAGTATGCAGAAAATGAGAGCATAAGCATATTACTTTCTCAATGAAAGGATTCACCACAGATACCTAAGAGCAGGATGGATAATAAAAGTCAACCAAAATTAGAAATCACACACACTTACACAGAGATTTTCCTGTGCGGCGCAAAGCCTCAGAAAGTTCTCTTTCTATGACTTTGATCTCATGTTTAAAGATCATGCTTGTTAGCGTTATAGAGAACTAAGTGGAGTTTGCAACTAATCCACCTCTGTTGCTTGTTTGCCTCTTATTCACTCAAGGGGAAAGGAGGCAGTTCTAGCCACAGGAAACACAATTCAGTCTTAAAAGTCTCTGCAGTATGATTAGACCCTAATTATTAGGGGTATTATTAGAGCCCTAATTCATAAATCACTCTACACAAGCAACATTTTAGATCAGAAAATGAAAAACGTAGGCATCGACAAAACCAAAGATCAGGAGAAAGCCCTGAAGAAGTTTCACATAGAAAGACAAGTTTTTTCCTATAAGAGTAAACTGAAGAATCATGACAAACACAACAACGAACACATCCCTATGTTAAGTTCTGGGGCTTATTCAACAAAACTATCTGACTAGAAAAAGCTTAGTCAAGAAAGAGAACTGGTGCACTGCAGTAACATTCCTGCTGTCCCCACTCCACAAAGCCTCCACTAACTAGGCCACTAATTTGGAAAAGCACGTACACCCAACATGAACTCTGAAGCACTGGTCCAGGGCAGCAGCACAGCTCTACCTATGGGCTCAGGGCCTAATTCCAGGAGGTTTCAAAACTCTGCAGAGAAATGCGGGCCCACGGCTTATCTCGGCTGCGGGAAATGCAAGTTCCCGGCGGCGTGTGCTGCAGCCGCCCTGCTCAGCTTCGCTCCGAGGCTCCTCCTCATCATCACACATCATGCTGTGGGAAATGGGAGCAGAGGGGCGCCTGTGGGGCTAGGGCAGACACCGAGGATGAAAGAACCCGAACAAGCAGATGCACACCGCCGGAGGGCCATGGCCAGACCCGGGGCGGCGGCTGGGGCACGGAATGCCGTGGCGCAGGTGAAGCGAAAAGCAGGACCTTCCTTCCCACGGAGGGGCTGGGGGCGCGGGTCAGCTCCCCGCGAAGGGCGGTCGGAAAGGGGAAACAGAGGGGCAAACACTCCTCCCAGGGACGAGGGAAGAGGGGCGGGGGGAGGAGACGCCCGCGGCCGGGCGGGGCGGCGCGGACCAGGCAGGAGCTCTCCCATCCCGGGGGGCGGTCCCGACCCCAGCCCCGGCGCCCAGCCCGGCCCGGCTCGCTCACCAGAAGAGCAGGTTGGCGCAGACGAAGCCGCCCAGGCTGCGGAGGGGCCGCTCCCAGCTCAGCGCCGCCGCGATGCAGCAGCTCACGGCCAGCCCCGTCTCCCCCAGCACCGCCGCCGCCCCGTCCCCGCTTGACACTTCCGTGCGCTCTGTATCTCCGGCCGCAGCCGCGCCCCGCTCCTCCGGGGCCTCCGGCTCACGGGGCTGCGCGGGTACCGCCGCGCTCGCCATGGCTCAGTGGCGGCCGCCGGGCTGCGGCGCGGCTCGGCCAGGCGGAGCTGAGGCTGGAGCGGGAGCGGAGTCAGGCCGGGCGGGCGGGAGGCGGGTCGGGGGCGGAGCGCGGCGCTGCCCCCGCGTTACCCCGCACCCGCCTCCGCGCAGGTGCGGCGGGGGCGGTGCCCGCGGTGCGGCCGTGACTCCGCACAGGCGGGCGGGGGGGTGCTGGCAGTGCCGTGCTGGCGGTGTCTGCCGTGCTGGTGTGTGCAGCTCCTGGCAGGCGCTCTCGCTGCAGGAGTGACCGCGTAAGTGTGGAGGATTCCGGTTCCCTGCTCGGGGAAGGCTGGGCAACCAACTGCCTTCTTGATTTGGGAAAAGGTGTGGGGTGAAGCCCACTGGAAGATGTTGCCGGCGAGACTTGCCTTTCCTTCACGTGTGTATCCCACAGCCAAGGAACAGTTGGAGCACGTTCAGAGGAGGACCACGAAGTTGATAAGAGGACTGGAGCACCTCCCCTACGAAGACAGGCTGACAAAGTTGGGGCTGTTCAGCCTGGAGAACAGAAAGTTGCGTGCAGACCTCATATCAACCTTCCAGTATCTGAAGGGGAAGCCAGGGGGGCACTCGTGGTCAGGAACTGTAGGGATAGGACAAGGAGTAATCGGTACAAATTGAAAGAGGGGAAATTTAGGTTAGACTTTAGGGAGAAATTATTTACTGTGAGAGGGGTGAGACACTGGAACAGGCTGCCCAGGGAGGTTGTAGATGCCCCAACCCTGGCAGTGTTCAAAGCCAGGTTGGATAAGGCCTTGGGCAGCATGGTCTAGTGGGAGGTATCTCTGCCCATGGCCAGGTGGTTGGCTCTAGATGATCTTTCAGGTACCCTTCCAACCCCTTAACATTCTGGGATTCCATGATTCTATGGTAACAGTCCCCAAAATCCTAAAAAAATAATGGAAGTAAGCTGCTGTTGTCACAGCGCTGGGAACTTCTAAGATCACAGAGAAGGCTATGGGAATTTCATGGCTTCCATCTTCCTCTTAAGTATCCAAGAAACATCCTTGAAAATCTCTACCATGCTGTCCTATCATCTGCACTACTACCTATCTGGCCAGCCCCAGGCCCCAGGTGGAAGCGTGACTCTATCTTCAGGCTGATGATGTGCATAATAGGTAATGTGATTATTGGGAAGCTGAATTCTGGGGAGCGTACTTGGTGAGAAACATCACTCAAGCATCTGTTGCTGAGTAAGAAGAGCCAAAAATTGGAACTGGTGAAGGTGTTTCACAGCATAAACTGGGTAAAATTAAATAATTTTTACTGCAAGAGCAGGAACAAGAATTTTGGATGAGGAGTTGACATCTGTTTCTAGCTTAATTGAGCACCCCTTGTTAGAATGGCTTTTTAAAGGGAAAAGGCATCATACTCACTTGAAGGTCAACATCTTTTTTTTTTTTTCTTTGAGGTAAAAGAAGACAAAATAAGATCACAAAATTAAGTTGTAACATTGACTGTGGATTGCACTTCTCCTATGTGTTTTCACTAGATAACCTTGGGAAGGAGTTATTCTATTTATCTGATTCCACACAATCTCTGTAGCATATGAATTGTACCTGAGAGGAAATATACAGAATGTTGTTCTACAAAAGCAATTAACATTTTTTCCAAAGGACATTTTAGTTTTATGCTGATTTGTAATACTGCTATGCTCTTACGTCTGAGAACCTGGAGCCAGGCAGACCTGCCTGAATAACAAGCCCAGCTAAAATGTGATAAAGTGTTGTCTACGAAAGTCTGAGAGAGCAAAAGGAAAGAGACAGGCTCCCCTAGTAACCTAAAACACACAGATGGAAAAGAAAGGCTCTACGAAGAAGTCCCACCGAAGCTGGAGAAACACTTTGTTCTTTTGCTTTGGTTTTGTGCTGATGGATAAAAGTTGGTCCTAAAAAGACTTAGTCAAAACAGTGTGTCCTCCCTGTGCTGGGAAGCAGGCAGCTGTTTCCTGTGTGTGCAAGCAGCTGCTTACAGTTACTGAGCACTTCTCCTGGTGCCATTTGGGCATCTGATGGTTCCCTAGGATGAGCAGTGGTTGTTTGCTGATTTCCTGATTTGGGGAATGAGAGCAGAGGGAATTTTAGCAGGGAATCTTAACAGTCCACAGGAGAAGAAACAATCTTCTCACAAGGAAAAAGAGGTAGGGAAGATAGACACAAATGGGGGAGTTTCTCCTATACTTACCCTTTTCTTTTTTCAGATCATTGTAGGATGCTGTATTATCCATGCCAAGCTGCTGTTCTAGTGAACACTGCCCATAACTTGTAAAAACCATCCCCAGCTTAGCCAGCGGCAAATTGCTTTCCCTTGCTAGCATTCAGTTATTTCAGTAATGTGGGCTGTCTGATCCAGCATCCAAGTCTAACTCCAAACAGTAAGTAGGTAAGCCTGGAAAGGAGTCAGGTGTTCCTCATGCGCTTTTAAAGTGACCATGGGATAGTTAGATTCAGAAAGTGCAATGGGGTTAAAATGGATTTAACCAACAGTGGGAGAATGGCAATATAATCCCATTGCCTGAAGGATTATAACCATGGCAGGTTTGAGGCAATCCTCCCTTACCGTTATTCCACTTTTTTAAACATTTGAGGATGATTGTATGTTGTGTGTTCCCCCCCCCCCTCATTTTTTACTCTGCCGCATTCCCTTCAGTCACAGGAGTTCAAGAATGCCCCATCTCCTCAGAAAAGTGAGGGTGGAATCTGGGAGGGGAGGATGAGGTGGGGTTTCGGTGGGCAGGGTAGACTACAGATATGGGAACTCTTCTGGATTTTGATTAAACTGTTCTATATTACTGGCCTTTGCTTTCCTGAGCAATACGATGAAGGATACGAACAGAAACCTGTGAAAAGTTCTTCCAGAATATGTTTTATAATTGAACTAAATTTAAAAAAAAAGTGCTTCAAGGGTTGATGAATGCCAGCTCTCTTTTTTTTCACTGTTGATTGTTCTTGGGCTGGGTTTATATGAGTGAGCTTACTGAAAGCATGCTGGTGTAAACATCAGTGTGAGAGTAGAAAATGATGCTTCATTCCCAGCCATTGAAAGTTTAGATGTCTTTTTCAGAAAAAATAGTAGTAAATAGGTTGTCTGGCTTTGATCTTCCTGTGCTTTGATGTTCTACCTGCCAGGGTGTGTGTGCAGTTTGAGTTTGGGCTGAGAAAAACTGGTACTGGCACCCAGTGTACAGTTGCATGTGTGAGCTGTAATGCACAGAATTAGGTTAGGGACTGTAGGTCTGGTGCCGGGGACTACAGTGTAAATGATGGATGAAAACCAAGGAGAAAGCATTCTTAATGGTTGTTTCAAAGGAACTTACAAATATCAAAGCATCCTAATGCTTCTGAAATATGTTTGAAAATGCTGATGCCAGCATAGAGTAACTGTTAAATTCAGTTGAGGATTCCAGCTTGAAATGGAATGATTTTCCCTCATTTTTCCTTTTTTTTTTAAGCTTGTTTTCCATTTGCTTCATTTCATCACAGGATAACAGAGTACATTAGTTTGGGAGACTGTAAGAAATTTGGTCTGACCCTTCTCCCCATATACATGCTCAAAGCACCCTTGGTAGTTGGCTGTGACATGTTGTTCTGTGCCACACCCAGATTAGTTCTGAACATCTCTGAGGACTGGAGATTCTACAATGCATTCTGGGCAACCTGTTCAATGTTTGACCACATTCATTGTGAAGAAAATTTTCTTATTATGTATTAAAAATTTCTTGTTTCACCCATTTCCTCTGATTTGATTCTGCACTTCATAGGGGAGGGCTCTGTCCTCATCTGTTCTATAACTACACCTGAGGTACTTAGCAAGTAGGTCCCTTCTGTCTTTCAGAGTGAGTGAGCCCAACTCTCCCAGCCTTGCCTTTTACATCATGAGCTGTATGCCACTGACCTTCCAGGGGCCCATTGGACTCCTTCCAGGATGTCACTGTGTGTCTTCTATTGAGTTGCCCAAAACTGGACAAAATATTCCATATGTGGTCCCACAAATGGTAGAAGGAGGGGAAAAAATACTTCCCTTGTCCTACTAATGACCCATAGTTAGTGCACGAGTACTGACTCCGTATCCAGTCATCCCCATGGCATTTTTTAACTTGTCTGTGTTTTGAGGCTGAGGAATTGTGTCTTAGTCACTCTTAATATGGTAGTATTTCTGTGACTTTGGTCATCCTTATTCCCTTTTCCCAAGCTTTTTTGAGTTCTAAGATAGCTTTCTTGTGGAGTTCTAGTCACATCATCACAGCATTTGTTTGAAGTAGAAGCAGGTCATGGATTTGAATAACAGTGCTCTATGGTTTGCTTTTGTAATAATTTCTAATGACTCCTTTCCTTTTTCTTTTTTTTTTTCCCCTAACTGGTTGATATTTTTTTCTGGAACTATCAAAACTTCGCCATTTTGTCCTTAAGTGCTAATAATCACTTCAAAGCTTGCTGTACAGCTGAATCTGGTATTGGGCTTCCACCTTCACCTTACTTGCTTCATTTTATCTACTTGGAATTTATTTGCCATTTTATTGGACAACTGTTTGGTTTCCTAAAGTCATGCAATTTTTTTTAAGTCAGCCCTTATCCTCACTTTCCTGAATAACTTGATGTCATTGCTACACTTTGAGCTTGCTGTTTGTCATTTTTGCAGTTCACTGTTCAATAGATTGAAGAGCTCAGAGCGTCTGCTGAACTTCAGTGATGATCTCCTTCCTTTGTTTGGAATAGATCATTGGCTTTTACTGTCTGTTCCCTATCTTCTAGCCAATTATTTCTCCACATCAGGACTTCCTGTGTGGATACACAGCTTCCTTGAAGCCTTAGGTGATGAATTTAGCCAAAAACCTTTTTGAAATCCAGGTAAACCAGACTGCCTTTACTCACAGATTCATCAAAGAACTTCAGCAGACTTCTAGGGCAGACCTTTATTAATCAGAACCTATGCTGCCTCTTCCCAGTAGATCATATTTCTTCAGATGTCTGCTAGTTATATGCTTTATTATTATATT